TTACCCTAATCTCTGGTCTCTTCATCTCAAACCCTTCTTAAAGTGTCCTAATGCACTATAATCATTAGATGGCGACTCTTCAACTTCTAAACCCAATTCTCGAAAGGGAATAGAGTTGTCCTCCCAATGTCGTATACCCGATTTCTGACCCCACGGTTAGAGAAAAAGGGGGCGTCGACAACATCATAAATGTTTTAAAAAAAAAATTTATAACTAAAATTTTAATTGATCTTAAGGTCCTAAATATTAGGAAAATAATTTAAATTACAATGTTGTCCATTATGAAATCTATTTTTAAAGGGTAAAAAAGGCGAACGACATTTCGCTAAGGGCCTTCGTGCTTTTAATATAGTTAAAAGCACGAAGGCCCTTAGCGAAATGTCGTTTGCCTTTTTTACCCTTTAAAAAAAGATTTCACATTGAATAAATTTGTAATTTTAAGTTATTTTCTTAAATTTTTAGGACTTTAAAATCAACTAAAATTTATTTATTAAACCTTTCCTTATTTAAGTAGCAAATCCTAATATTATTAAATTTTTTACCTTATATGAATGTCCTTATTTGACGCCTATTATTAAAGCTTTAAAACTTTATATGAATGTCCACGTCTATCAATAGTAAAGCTTTAAAACAATATTAAACGATAAGATTTTCTTATTATTTAGAACTTTAAGAAATTATGCGTCAGCAATATTTTTTAGGATTCAAAAGCACAATAATTCCGGAAGCACAAAAACGAAACAAAATTGACAGAGTAATGAACAATGATTTCGGAAGCACTAAAACGAATCAAAATTGACATACTAATGATTTTTAACTATTTGAAATAAAAAAAAATTATTGACCAAAGTTCTAATTATAGTTAAAATTTAAAAATTGGGATGAACTAATATTAATAATTTGATAATAAAAATTAATTTATTTTCTTTAGTGTTGAGAATACATAATTAAGTTTTTTGAATTACTAATGCAAAAGAGTTCAAGTTAATAATTTTACAAAATTCACTATATAAGTAAGTTTATTTGTCAAGTTGACAAAATTCTTTAAGGTATATAAACTAATTTTTGTAGGAAGAGCACTAATGGTGAAAGAAATTTAAAAAAAAAAAGTCAATTTATGATATAAAATTAAAAGTCAAATTGATAAAATAGGAATTTGAAGCAATAAAGATGAAATAGTAGAAGACCAAATATATTATAAATGAGTTATCATTTTTTCCCTTACTTGCAATCAGTTATTCAGTCTGATAGGTGACAATGTCTCACTATATTGTTTTTTAAATTAAGTTAGTTGTTGTAAATATTATTTAACATTAGTTATTCTTTAAATTTTATATTGTCATTATTAATATTTAGGAGGTATAATGTCAACTTTCATCCCAAATTTTTAGAAGATCAAAAGATTTAATTTTAATTTTGAAATGTTCATATAAGTCCTTTTTTAAATCATAAATAAGGTATTCGAAAAACTTTTATGGTATATGATATCTTTATTTATTGAATTAACTAAATGAGAACAATATTTGTTATGTTCTTAAAAGACCTTTAACTTTTATTTTATAATTTTATATAACTCAAATAAATTTTATTGAGTCACAATTCAAAAAGTGGTAAATATTTTAAAAAGATATTCTTGTTGGAAATACATATATAGCAGCCATATAAAGCTCTAATTCATGGCTAAAAAAGAAAAACCGAATTTAAATTCAATCCACTATTTATCAAGATCTAATGATTTGAATTAATTTCCTTACGAAAATATGTTGGTGTAATTGCAATTTCTAACATTCGAATGTAGTAAATTTTATTTGACAGAAAGGTTGAAAAAAAATACAATAAGTACATATTTAACTACCCGTAGGATTACAACCTGAAGTCAAATTACCTATTAATTTCATGTTTAGAAACATCTTTTCCTTTTTTCGGTTTAAACCTTTCAATTATTTATACATGTATTGCTATTTCAACATTTTGTTTGTTCGTAAGCTTCTATGGTTAGTCATTAATTGTTGAATAGGTTTTTGAAAGTTATTTAGTTCTCTTTCCGATAGATTTTTACAAAAAATTTTGATTTTCTTCTATTATATTTTTGTATTTGATATTTATTTATCTAATAAATATAGTATTCATATGATTTTAGGATGAGAATAGGAGGAATGAATTTTTTAGTCTTTTAATTTTTTTAATGTGCGTGTATTTCATAGTTCTTGTAAAAAATTTATTGGCATGATAACATAATCCTATTAATTTATGATATAAGCTTTAATTATTGATTTAAACTTCATGTTGCTTAGTATATATATGTTCGTCGGTAACTTTATTCACATGTTTGAATATTTATTTATATATTGTTCTCATGCCTGTTTTGATTATACAAACTTTTCTGAGATCAGAATAAGCAGACGAGTCAAAAGAAGGGAATAAAATAGCGAGAATAACCCTAAATTTTTTGAGACGACTCACATATTTGATATTTATCTATTCATTTTTTCTTATACAAAAACTCGAATTTTACATATTGTTTTCTAAATTTTTTCCCTCTTGAAATTACAACAATTGAAAATGTAATACAAGCTAAGGTTATTATATATGAAAATTATCACAAATATATCAATGCTAAATTGATAAGAAAAAAATATAAAATCGGGATGAAGCATTTGTAGTCAAATACATTATTCTTGTACACATATTTATTTGACGCGAGACGTGCACTAAACTAGTATTATACTAAAAGCACGAAGTCCATATCGAAATGTCGTTCGCTTTTTTTACTTTTAGTAGGTTTGTTCTAAGTTGGATATAATTGTAATATCAATTAGTACTAAATTTTTATTTTTGGGAAAAACCAAAAACTGCCGACTATTTATGAACGTGTATTTAGTTTTAGGAGTCTTTAGTTTTACACTACCGAATATTTAGGTGTTGTCTGTTTAGGTTTATTAGGAGTCTTTAGTTTTCTCTTTGTTTAGTATAGGATACTTTATTGCGTGACTATTTTATTATGTGTAGGACTCTTTAGTCTTTAGTTTGTTTAAGATTTTTACGAGTGTCCTTTCTTTATGTAGGTATTCATAAGTTTTGATCAGTGCTGCAAATTGCATAAAAATTTCAGATATCAGCAAGCAGGTTAGCAACATTTTATTAAAGAATAATTATCGCTTAATATTTTTTTTATTTTTTTTATTTTTTTGTGAATGCACAAGCTTGATTAATTTTGATATGCAATTCATCTTTAAGTATGTTCAATGAGTTTTTAATATTATTTTATTCTTTTATGTTTCAAATCGCATGAATTGCAGACTGATGAACAAGTTTATATTTCATTAAAGAATAATGATCACAAAAGATTTTTTCTGTTATGATAGAAGCTTGATTAATTTGAATATGTAGTTATTCTTTAACTATTTAATGGGTTTCTAATATTGTGTCGGTCTTTAGTCCATCTTAATTAATCAACCGAGAGTTTTGAAAAATTTATTGCAATGGAGGATGCTGCAACAATGACTTGCCAACAAAGCAAATAAGGGTAGAAAGAAACAAGCAGTTGATATTGTCCTTATTGCAATAAATAATGCATATGGCCATAGCATATTTTCTCCGAATGGAAAATTATATGTTACACTTTCAAAGAGTATATCAGTTTCATGACTAAGGGTTTATTGGTTATAACAACACAATCAACGTCTGACGACAACAAAAAGAATATACACCCCAAGAAACATTATCTATAAAGAGATAGTAGGTCTAATATAACAACATAACATATTATTATTATTTATAAATAAAATATCTATAGTTACAAATACTATATAACGAACTTATTTGAAGTTTTCGTCTTTGCATGCAGCCAGTTAATTTAAAGTTAACTATTGCATATCGTAGTAATATTGACTTTTTCATTTAAATGAATGTTGCATCTATCTCGATATCAATTGCTATTATACATATATAGTTTAATCCATTCTTATTCTATATTTTATAACTTTCTTATTGATAGACGTAGAATTCACGTTACGTACTCTAAAACTAGTTTTATATATATATATATATATATGGAATAACTACAACTCCCTTATATCTAAGGTATTATTCCCAAAACCATTTCTTAGTATCCAGTATTCATCAGCATGAAGGACATTGAACAAAGGGTACAAACATAGAATAGTTTTATTGGTCTACCTAGAAAGTAAATTCAAGCTGCAAAACCAAACAAAGTAATAACAGTACACAATGGCCTTTTTAACAATTCTAAGTCATAATCCTCGAAACCGACCGCTCTAAGCACTTTCTGCAAATCCAATTTGTGAACTGCCAAAGTCGAAAACTGTGTGATATGCTCTCAAGAATGCATCTCCAAGAACCCTGCAAAAGTAGAGTTGAATATATCATACAACTGGATCTTCATGAATATATAATATATTATAACTTATGGCAGTGAAAATAGTCTTACCAGAGGGGACGTCGCGGATGCGCGTTTAAAGTTGTAAATCCACTAATACAGTGGACACCTTGGCTGTCATCAACTCTGATAACATACTATTACACAGAAAGGAAGATAGTAAGTGGAAGAAGAGAAAGCACTGCTATTTAAAACTATAATATGTTACTAATATACGGCCTAAAAACAAGACGCTAACGGCTTTTCCAATGTACCTTACTGGAAAACCAGTTCAAGTTGTCGAAGCAATTTTAATCTACATTGCTCCGATCCTCCAAAAATGCTAACCGCACTCATGTTGGATCCTCCAAAAAGTGCAATGAGATTTTTGCGGGATCCCAGCAATCAGTGGCGAATCCAGGATTTGAATTTTATGGGTTCAATCTTTAAGATTTTTAGTATTGAACTCATTGTATTTTGAAGTTATTGCTTCAGTACTACTATTTATTAGATTTGACTGAACCCGGTACTAATATGATGCATCTGCCTCTGCCAGCAACATAAATTTTAATGGGAAGATAAGAACTTTTCTCCGATATTATGTCATCTCCGATAAGAACAGATGTAATTCTAGCACCAGTTGCTACCTTTAACACATATTGATAATGGAGGAATAGTATCAGATAACAACAAACCTGATCTGGAGAAAGGGGAAAAGATTTGTCTCCAATGGTAAATGTTATATGTGGCAGGGCAAAGACATCACAGTTGATAAATGATTTTCCCCCGGGATTCGGAAGCTTCTCACACAGCTTCAGCACAAATTACATGTATTAGTAGTAAGTAACTAATGAGAACTCGAAAAACAAAAAGACACAACTGTGACATGAATACCTGATTGGCATATTGAAACGCTTTTTCTTTTGATCTCTCTTTTCTGATCTCTACTTGTATCCAGAACACTATCATCTCACAAGAAGAACATAACGACCCATTATTTGTACAGAGTCCAATTCTGTTGCATACGTTCTCCGGTTGTAACTGCATGCAGCCAAACAAAAGGATGACATCTAAATAAGAGAACACCTAAAATACCCGCACACAACAATTAGAAGTTAAAAAGCAGCTACCCCTGCTATCAAGCGTTCCCAGATCGAATCCCCATAACTCGAGACAACTTTTTTGCATTCCAAACTAATAATTCCTTCCGCTCCAATGGCATGATTTATTTGAGTTAAAATAGTCTGAAATGGAGATGGCTGAGAAGAAATTGATCTTGCAAAAAAGAATTAAAATCAACAATGGTTTAAATACAGACAGTTGGACCAGCGATAAATGATGTCCCTGTATCCACAATAGCTGGACATCCATCCTTACAAAGGCCTGAAAGGGAAAGAGCAGAATTACACTAGAAATGCATTGTTTTTATATAGTAAATCACTTATGTATATGAAGATATTACCTGTTGAATTGCTTCCTATAAAAAGATCCCCTATCTCAATCTGGAATTTTTGAAAAAAAACTCAGTTTTTTCAGGTTACCAAGTAAACAATACAAATAAAGTTCCATTAAACGGAGGCGCAGGTTACCTCCCAATAACCATTTTGAGCGACTGGTACGTATGTATGCTGACCCCTGAAGTGAGTCCAATCCATGCCTCCAAAGATAATTTCACCCGCTATCTTAGACGTAGGATCTCGATTTAGCCAGAATGAGAAGATTGACTTGGTAACCATATGCTGAAGCAACATGTTATACCTGAAATTAACTCACACAAAAGAATGTGGATTTCAATTTCAATGACACAGGTAAGAAATGAATGAGAGAACAAGCTCATTAAAACTATGTCAGAAAGCATAAATTACTATGTCAAAAGTTATTATAATATGAAGAGATAATAATTTACCATACTGGTGTGACATTCCTTGATGTCGTGCTCTGATCAAATCCAAGTCCTAGTACTCCATCAAATCGTGCACGCAACAATGTCAAGTATCCCTCCCGTGTTACCTCAGTGAAAACCTGTTTAATAAATTTTATTCAACATGTAACTTGAAAACATATATATCTACAATTTCAGCTGCAAAGACCGGCACCTGCTGCTTTAAGACAGCACCTCCAACTTTCACATTGTCTTGGCTGAAGAATCCATGAACTGAACCAGTGCCAAAAGGGATTTTGCTAGACTTTCCTATCATAAAAGCCCATGTATAGAAGTGATAAGTATTTCGATTAAGCTATTCTACGCTTAAATATCAACAATGCTCTAACCAAAATAAAGGTTTGGAGGTCCATTGGGTAACTACCAATTTTTGTATACGTATTTGATAGTCTTGATTTGTACCTGGAACGAAGATAACATGCAATCTGCATTGGATAAATCCATTCAAAAGTTAGTTAGTTTCATGTAGTGAAAATTGTTAATCCACAACTTGACAAAGACTAACCGAGAAGAAACATCTGGAAGAAGGGACCCAAAGATTGGAACTTCCAGTATCAAACACAACAATGAAGCGTTGGGGCGGTGAACCAATACCAATCTCCGCGAAGTACTGAACATCATGATAATTTTTGAGGTAAACTATCTGGTCATTCGGAGCAGCCAAATTTCTATTGCGACCCCTGAGATCTTTAGCGTAGATTCTTGCATCGCTTATGCTAGAAAGGTCCAACGATTGCCTTTTTAGCTCAATCCTAACCATATCATCAGCATATACGTTGATGCAGGTTATATACCATATTACAAGTGATGCAAGAAGGATTTTGATCTCCATTCTGTTCACACAGAGAAACAAATTCAAAAACAAACCAGAGCTGCAAGAACAATTAGGAAAAAGATAAAAATATAGTATTGCCTTCAAAATGCTTGTTTACTGTTAAAATCTTACTTTAAGTTTTAATATATATATATATATATAGAGAGAGAGAGAGAGAGCAGCCCGGTGCACTAAGATCCCGCTATGCGCGAGGTTCTGGGAAGGGCCGGACCACAAGGGTCTATTGTACGCAACCTTACCCTGCATTTTCTGCAAGAGGCTGTTTCCACGGCTCGAATCCGTGACCTCCTGGTCACACGGCAGTAACTTTACCAGTTACTTTAGTTTTAATACTATGAATCAATCTATCAATCAACTATATGTTAGTTGGAGTATGGCTATATGAATCCATTTTACTCTAGTATTTCTTTCCAATACTAAATAAGGGTTATTATCTTAATCACACAATTATCTCTACAAGGACATACTACCAATCTCTAACCAGAACAAGAGGACTTTTAACAAATGCCGGACGCCTGGACCTAATACAAGTGTAGTAACCAGTGGCCATGTCAGGAATTTCATCCCTCAATAAAGAGTATTCAATATATGTTACTATATATCATTAAAATCTAATATTTTACCTATATATATAGGTGGTCAGTTGACCAGCCTTAGGGCTATGTACCTTCGCCCCTGGCAGTAACAATAATTGAACATTAATCTCAACTCTAACTTCTAAAACTAATCATACGTAATTTACTATAGTATTTAACCATTTCAAACAATCTTTTTAAGATTTTAAATATGAATGCATAAAGAACGTAAACAAAAACTAAGAAAATGAAAAAGGCTATATACATAAACTAGGCAACTATCCAAATAATAGCAAGCAGATAGTACCTGACTTAAAGCGACAAACTCCAAGGTTCATGCAAAACCCATAAAAGGCAAAGAGATGGCAGTCCCAAAATGCCACAAAACGGTATTTTATATGTGGCCAAGAAGGGCAAAAACTCAGCAAGTCATCGTAGGCAGTGAATGAGTCCAAATTTTGAGGAAACCTCCTTGTAGTTTCGATTGAACTACATGATATAATTAAGCACAAGGGAAAAAAAAGTACAGATTGCACTTTCTGAAGTGAGCGGGAGGTTATATTTTCTTACCATCTATCCATTTAGCTAAGGTGGTCATAGGTACATTAACTGTAGAGCATAAAGAGCAACATTTTTTTTGGTTTCCCACCCGGTATCGGTACCCGCATTGGAGCCCGACTATATCGGGATTCGCGCCGCGTAGGGTCCCATTCGGGGAAAAGCGCTCCCTACCAAGAATTTTTTCATATCCAGGGCTCGAACTCGAGACCTCTGGTTAAGGAAAGAACAGCCCCATCCGCTGCAAGACATCCTTTGGTGCTATAAATAGCAACATTGCATAAAGATTCTTGCTTTCATTTCTTGTTTGATTTCATTGGGAGTTAGAATTAAAAATTTAACAAATATAGAATGTTGGCATACAAATTCATTGAAGTTATAGTTGCAGCTAGGGGTGTACATGGACCGGGTTAGTTCGGTTTTTATCAAAACCAAACCAAACCAACTATATCGGTTTGGATTGTTTCGGTTTTGTCGGATCTTTTGGGTTTTCGAGGTATTTTGGTTACATGAATATTGTTCTAATCTGACTTTGTTAAAGTTATATATATAGTATTGATAAGTGAATATATGTATAGTAAATATTGAAAAAATTGACAAACATATGATCTATTAAAATATTCTAATGAGAGAATTTTTTTAGTAACACATGATAGTTATTTTCTTAGTCGTCTAACAATAATTTTTTGTTCATGTACGCTTTCAAGGTTAACACATGATAGGATCCCAAATATTACAATATTTTTTTAAAGAAAATTCAATATAAAATCTTATATATATATATTTATATGTCGGTTTGGTTCG